AATTGCCCGAGGCCGAGCGGCCCGCAGCGCGCTCGCCCCTGCGCTCGGCTGTGGCCAACGCCCTGTAGGGCCAAATCGCTGAGCAGGTCGCCCTGGCGACGGAAGACGTAGTCGGGCTGGGCGCCGGGTTCGCCCCGAGTGTCTGGTCTTGACTAGATGTGGCTCCCTCCCACACGTGTGTGCTCCCTGCTCCTTCCCCCCCTCCTTGCCTGCCTGCTGCCCTGATCAGTTGTAAAGCCTTGGTCACGTCAGCAGTGTGTACTGTACCGTGTAGTTCCTTCATAGTGTGCACGATGCGCTCTTGCTTTGTCATGTCAGCTTTACATGCCGCGTTGTGCAGTTACCCAGTTTTGTGCGCGTTGTGCTCCCGCCATGCCACCTTCGTCGGGCTCATAGTCATGAGCTGTTCTTTCAACCCGTCCGCGATGCGCCTTCGTTCCGCCAGCAGCATTAGCGCAAGGCCACATGCAAAAGAGGCGTCAAGAGGCGTTCAAGATCGGGGGCGCCCCGCGGGTCCTGGGACCGTCGGCGGCCCGCCGTCCGGTTTGTCGCCCGCCCGCGACGCGTTTTCCTCGCCCCCCTTTCCCCTCTCCTGCCCTTCCAGGGCCCCGAACGGGGGTCAGGCCGTTTTCAGCTGTCTCAAGGATCGGTCTCCGCTCACCTGAAGCCGCTGGTTTCAACCTTTAGTTCCCCTGTTTCATTTGTGCTCCGCCTTTGCAGTCGGCCGCCCCATATTTGTTCGGTGTGCAGCTTCTCTCCCTGCCCTTCCTCGCTCGGCAGCTGTTTGGCTTTTGAAGTTTCGCTTCGCGCGATCTCTCGAGCTGCACCTCCCGCGCCATCCTTCCGACCAAGTGATGGCGCCCAAGCTCTCGAATCCCGCGCCGATGCCGTGGCCTGCGGCGTCGCATACCGACTCGCCCAGTCACGATGCGGCGCCCCTTCGCGGGGCGCTGGCGGCGAAGGCCAAGGCGAAGTCCGATGCGCGCGCGAAGGCCAGCGGTTTGACCGCGGCCGACGCGCCCACTCCCAAAGCGTGGCCTGCGCCGCGCCCTGGCCAGCAGGTGAGCGCGTCGGAGAGCAGCGACATCTCGGACGAGGAGTTCGACGTGATGTCGGAGGCGGCGACCTTTCGGACGGCGCCGACACTGCCCACGGAGTCGGCGACGCCTGCTGAGGGTGCCGACGGAGGCAGCGTACGGGGGCCGCCCCCAGTGCCGTTGCCTCTGACGGTGCCTCTGACGGTGCCCCCACGGCGACGGCCAAGGCGCCCGCTGAGCCCTCGGCGATGCCCCCGTCGGCGGTGGTGCCAGTGACGAAGGCGGCCCTGGCGGCGGCGGCCTCCTACTCCAACTTCACCTCGGAGCAGCGCCGCGGGTTGGACGCGATCGCCCTCGCGCTCCACAACCTCCAGCTGCGGGGGCAGTCTGTGAGCGGCCACGGCGGGCGAGGCGCGCGCAGCGACGCCGACGGCTGCCGCCTTATGGACGATGAGACCGCCAGTGAGGCCCCGAGTGCGGCGACCACGGGCGCCCTCAGCGGGCGCGGCGGCAAACGCCACCGCCGTCGCAGCAACAAGGCCGCCCACGGCAAAGCCCCCCCGCCGAGCGGCGGCACGGCCGCTGGGCTCGAGGACGCTGAGACGATGACGCAAGCGGACTACCTCGCGGCGGGCTACGTGCACTGCATGGGCGCGTACTGGCTCCCGCCGCAGCGCCTGGGCTGGCGTCGTGAGTGCGCAGCGCTGGATGACTGGAAGGCCATGATGGTGGAGTACGTGGACGAGCTCAACCGTGGCGAAATGCGCCGCTACAGCGAAGCTTCAGAGCACAACCCGCAGTACCCCAAGCTGCGGAAGGGTGAGCGAGGCCAATACAAGCTGTACACGTGCTCGCGCCGCGTGGCGGCGGCGCAGGGCATCCCCGAGCACGAGGCTGTGACGCTCGCGGCGCGCCAGAACAAGGGAGCTGGCTCCATCGCCCACGCCGCCAAGCGCGTGGCGAAGTTCCGCGCGAGCTTCGACCACATCAAGGAGGGCATGGACGTGCTCGTGGGCTACGCGCTCTCCAACGACGGCTTGCTAGCCCTGCGGAGGGCGAAGGAGGGCGTCGGGGTGGGCATCGCTCCCGAGAGCGTGGGCGCCCCTCCGGCCACGGAGACGGTGGCGCAGGAGGTCGGTCGCCCGATGGCGGTGGAGGTGGTGCCGGGGCCGCCCCGCGCGCCACCTCCACCCCTCGAGGACGGACCTGGCGCCGCAGACCCTCCCCGCGGCGATGATAGCGACCCCCTGCTCGAAAACGACGCCGAGTGCCAGGGGCGCCAGCTGGTCGACGCCAAGACTGTGGAGGAGGTCGCGGATGTCGAGCCCCTGCTGCGGCTCGGCCTCTCCAAGAAGTCGCTGAAGCGTATGGCGCGGGCCTGCGGTGCCCTCAAATTCGAGACCATGCGCACCCACATGCTGGGAGGCACGGGGCCCATCCTGGAGAAGAAGGAGGACATGATGAAGGGCGCGGCGGCGCAGGACGGAGTTCAGAGGTGGCTCGACGCGCTGGATGTGGAGGCAGATGTGGCAGGGCTGAAGAAGGGCCTCCTGGAGACCTCGGAGATCGTGGACGCGCACCTGGGACACAAGCGTGCGCGGAAGGAGGAGTGCCAGGGCAACGCCATGGCGCAGGAGGCCCACCGACGGATTGGCGACTACACGGACCAGCTCTACCGTGGCAAGGGCTTTACGTTCAACATGTACTACAAGTGCTCGGCCAACAAGACCTGGGACAATCCCAAGGGATGCTGCTCGGTGATCCGTTCGGATCGCTGGACGCAACTGCTCACCTGCGCGCAGGAGGCGGCGGGGGAGTCCGGCCAGCGCTGGCACTGCCATTGTGGCGCGCGCTACGCGACCTCCTACGGCGTCTGCATCGAGATGATAGAGGAAGAGCTGAGCCCGCCCCGCGCGTACTACATGCACGCGGACTTCCCTCGGGAGGACATCCGCGACTTGAAGGCCCTGCTGCGTTACGACGAGCTCAAGAGGGAGGGGGTAGCGGTGCTCAGCGCTGTGGACCTCCTGAAGCACCTGCCCAGGGTCGAGCCGCTGGCGGTGGGCACCGTCTTTATGCGCTACGCTCCGCTGCAGCCGCAGTGGGAGGGCCACCACGTGCTAATGGACGGGCTCTCCTGGGACGACCTGCCTGAGTTCGAGTGGTCCGACTTGTACTCGCAGGTTGCTTGGGGGCTGGAAGATCCAGCCTGGGCGGGCTACAGCAAGAACCAGGGGAAGAAGGCCAAGAAGGAGCGCCTGGCGGCCGCGCGCGCGGAACTGGAGGCCTATGAGCGCCGCCGCAACCTCCGGGAGGGCAGCCTCACGGGCGGCGGGGGTGGTACCGGGGTCGCCCCGCGTGCCACTCCCGTCCGCACCGCCAGTGCCCCCCCCGCTGGCTCGGCCCGCGGCAGCCAGGTCCCGCCACCGCCGCCTGCTGGAGCCCCGCAGGCGGCCATCATGGCCCCGCCGCCGCCGCCGCTGACGGCGCCCCCTGCGGCGCCGCCGCCGCCGGCTGGCCCGCCCCCGCAGCAGATCCCCAATGCCGCCGTCCTGAACGTGGCCCTCGGTGAGGATCTCGAGCGCCAGATCCTTGGGCCCCCCAGGGCAGGCTGGCGGCAGTGGTGATCTCGGGGGAGCGGCGCAGGCGCTGCCGTCGCAGGTCTTCGCAGCCATTGCGCAGGGGACAGGCCAGTCCGCCTGAGCGCTGAGACTCTGCAGGCCCCCAGCATCGTTTACTTCTGAGCCCTCGGGGGGGCTACGTGAGTTCCTGTGTTAAGATTCCGAGCCTGCCACTCTCTATGATGCTGCGCCTGTGTGCTCGCTTACGCTCCAGCTTTAGCAGCGCCGCCGTGCCAGCTTGCGCGGGTGCGCCCACAGTGGTGCCCCCCCTCGCGCCGCGGGCCCTGTTGCTTAGTTCTTCGTTCTTCGCACGGTCAACTGTGCGCCTAGCCATTTTGGCTTGCCATCCTGGCCTCTTCTCGCGCCTACTTGCGCTCGTTGGCCTCGATGGCGGTACTGGGGTCGCCCCGTGTGCTGCTGTGCCGCCGCTGTCGCTTTACTCTGGGCCGTAGGGACCAGTTGCCCTCGGATAAGCGCCCGCCGCTGCATGCACGTCAGACCCGCCATTTCACCCAGAAGAGGTGCTCGCTATATACTGGAAATGAGGCAGCCACAAGGACGCTCATCCCAAGGCGGTTGAGCCGTGGTGATGTGGTGCACGTGTCAGCAGTAGTAGTAGTAGTAGTAGTAGTAGTAGTAGTAGTAGTAGTAGTAGTAGTAGTAGTAGTAGCAGTAGTAGTAGTAGTAGTAGTAGTAGTAGTAGTAGTAGTAGTAGTAGTAGTAGTAGTAGTAGTAGTAGTAGTAGTAGTAGTAGTAGTAGTAGTAGTAGTAGTAGTAGTAGTAGTCGTAGTCGTAGTCGTAGTCGTAGTCGTAGTAGTAGTAGTAGTAGTAGTAGTAGTAGTAGTAGTAGTAGTAGTAGTAGTAGTAGTAGTAGTAGTAGTACCAGTAGTAGTAGTAGTAGTAGTAGTAGTAGTAGTAGTAGCAGTAGTAGTAGTAGTAGAGGTAGTAGTAGAGGTACTAGTAGTAGTAGTAGTAGTAGTAGTAGTAGTAGTTGTTGTTGTTGTTGTTGTTGTTGTTGTTGTTGTGCGCGTGGAGAGTAAAAAAAATATCCCCTCGCCCCTCCTGTTCATCCTCTTCCCAATCCTCCTCCCTCATCTTCTCCCGCACCACCATTGTTCCTTGCGAGACTGAGGAGGCAGGATACAGTGCCGTTTTTAATACATGCCTCGCGTGCGGTTCATGTATGGGGAATGCAGGGGGTTAGTATTGAAACCAACGATGAGTTCATGCATACATGGATTCATGGATTCACCATGTATCAGAATCCCATATGTTTGAAACATCCCATGTGTTAAAGAGTGCCCCGTAGTACCAAAGTGGCACACGAGTTGTGCTTCCCGAGGACTCGCGATGTGGTTCGAGACCTGTTCAGCTCTGCGCTGCACGCGTGCCTCATCGGTCAGCAGTGGCAGCGAGCCGTGTACCTGCACACGTCTTTTTGCCGACGTGGCCTCAAGCCGACTGCGCGCATGTTCACGCACTGCATCGGTGCCTGTGTCACGGCAGGACAGTGGCAGATTGCGTTGCGACTGTTGCAAGGAATGTGGTCGGCGGCATTGGCTCCGAATGGGTACACATACGCTAAGGTCGTGACCGCCTTGCGTCTGGGAAAGCAGGTGCCGTTGGCGATTGACTTCTTTGACAGTGCGGTCCTAGTAGGAGCGGCCAATCTTCCTACGTATGCTGCAGGTTTGGCGGCTCATGCTGAGATGGAAAATTGGGAAGAAGTGCTGGTGTTGCTCAGACAGATGCGCTTGAAACATATGCACCAGGCTGGCGCGACCTACAGGGCTTGCATCGACGCTTGCTTGAGGCCTGAACTTTGGCAGACAGCGCTGTCGCTGCTCTCCGAGATGCAAAGCGTGGACCTCGATCCACATGTAGGCGCGTTGCCAAAGGAGGTCTTCGCGTTCTCTTCCAGTCCTTCGGGATGGCTCCAGGCCATCTCTCTCTTTCAGGAGCTGGTATGCCGCGAGCTCGGGCGGGAGAGCCCCGACTTCCCGGCTGCGCTCAAGGCCTGCGCCAACGGAGGCCACTGGCAAGCTGCCGTGCACGTCTTGCAGAGCATGGACGAGGCCCTCGTTCCGCTGGACGCCACCACGGCCGTGGACGCGGCCGCGGCCTGCAGTCAGCACTGGCGGCTGGTTGTGGACATCGTCGACAGGGCGAAGGAGTCACCGACCGCATTGCCGCCGTCACGAGCGAAACTCATGATGCCCGAGCCGGGTTTTCCAGACCTTCGTGGGCCCCGGAAACGGCAGGGCCGGTTTTTTCACCGTTTCCAAAAAAGTGTCTCTTGAAAGCGCAAACGGCAAAAAAACGGCGACCAGAAACGGCAACAAAAACGGCTCCAGGATTGGAACTGGAGCGGGAAGCCCGTAAAAGAACGGCGACGGAGCCGGTAATAAACGGCGTCGGAACCGGCAAAAAAACGGCAAAACGGAACCGGTAAAAACACGGCCCTGTCGTTTCCAGGGCCCACTAAGTTCCAGACCCTCTTTTACGTGGGTCTTTTCGGTGTCGTGACTGGCCAGGTCCAGGCTCAGAATTGATACACATGTGCCCTCCGCGGCTGGAGTTCGGCATGCATTCACCTCCAGCGCTGGGCCCCGAGGTCCCCAGGAAAGGCACCGTGAAAAGTGATGAGCTCGGGCCAGCTGCACCGCACAGCTGCCTCTCGTGGTTCGAAGGGGACTCCGCATCAGGTAGAGGACTGGGGGCTATCTTGGAGGCGGTCGGTCAAGAGAGGGGATTCCTCGATGCAGGTCCCCCCTCGGAGGCCACGATCCTCGGAGGTCCCCCCTCGGAGGACCCTCCCAGGGGCCGAAAAGGACCTTTTGACACATCGGGCCCACTCCCCCCCAACAAAAACCAGGGAGGGGAGGGGGAGGGCTCCCATCCCCGAAGGGAAGAGGGGTAGTGTCAGAGGAAAGCCCTCCTCCTCTGGCGTTCAACTTGTTTCCCTGACCCTCCAACAGCGCCAGCAAGTACAGCAGGCAGACCAGAAAGCCGGCTGACTTGAATGGGTCATCGATCTGGGGGACCATTTCTCAGTATTTTGGGGGGGGCATTGTGTTTTCTTGTGGTGGTCCTTTCGCGACGCCAGGGGCTGGGTCTCCGCATTGGGCCGCCGCCTGGGCTTCTGAAACTTCTTCCGGACGGGACTGGCGCCCCTGATATCATTCATTCTGGCGTCTGCGGCCGATTGGAGGCCTCGCAGCAGTTGGAGGAGCTTCCGCGGTCCCGTGGAGGTCTGGGTGGCCCTAGTGTGTCTGAACAGGTGGCCGTGCCTGGGTTGCAAGTGTCTGCACGGCTCCATTCGACACTGGGCATTGAGGTGTATGTGTGCAGTCCCCCGTCGGTTTCGCGAATCGAAGTGTGTGTTTCGTCCGATACGCTTTGGAAGTTGGTCGGCGATTCCGCCGGAGTCCTCTCCGAATGCTGAGCCGTGGGCACGTGGAGTGTTCTTGGCAGCTTTCACCGAGCGGGTCGTTCGGCAGCGTTTTGTCGCGGGTGGGCGCGTGGCCCCCAAAAGTGCGCGTGGGGTCGACAAGCCCACGGCTGGCTTCGAAGGCGGGGGCGCAGCAGCACAAGGGCACGCATCCCGCCGCAGGCTCTGCTCCCAGCGCCGAGCGTGAGGGGGCCAAGAGGGTGTCCACCACAAGGCCTCCTCGGGCATCTATGGGGGCACGCCCACCCGCCCGACCCCCGCGCCCTCCCCCTCGCTCTTGCCAGCAATTGCGGGATGCTACGTCGAGGTGGTTATTCTTCCATGTCCGTGCGAAGGAGCATGACGACTCGCTGTTCGGGAGCGCCCGGCTTCTGACCCTGGGCCTGCAGGCCTGCGGGGAGGCTGGGCGCTGGCAGGGCGCCCTCCAGATGCTCCGCGAGGCGCAGGCCAACCCTGGCATGGAGCTTCAGGCTGTTCCTGTTCACTGCCCCCCCCCCCCTCTCTCCTCTCCTGGTCCTGCCCTCCTCTCCTTGCCCCTCCCCCAACCCTCCTCTCGCCCCTCGCCTCCCCCCCCCTCCTCGCTTCCCCCCCTCACCCTCCTTGTGCCCCTCACCCACCCGTCCCCCCTCCTCACACGCTTGCCTCACCTTCGCCCCTGCCGCTCTCGTCCCCCCTCCTCCTTCCCCAGTCCTCTCACGTCCTTCTTCCCGGGAGCCTCCCCCCTTCCCCCCTCCTCGTTCCTTTCAGTCCCCAGCAGTCGCCCCTCCCCACACCTCCCTCTCCACGCCTCTGGCCCAGTCGCAGGGCGGCGTGTGGGGGAGCCGGTGCTGCTGCTCCTCCTGATGCCCCCCCCCCCCCCACCAGAGCCTCCGAGGGCACTCCGAGCTGCATCTGCGATGGCCGCAGGCCGTCCACTACCACGCCGCGAGCTATGCCGCGAGAGGCTGCCTGACGTGGGAGCAGGCCCTGCGGCTGACGATGGAGACGCTGCCTCTGCACCGCCGCCGCCTGGAGGATGGCATTCTCGAAGATCAGGACTCCAGGCCTGCCAGATGGGATCTTACGGATGGGGTCGGAGGATCGCGCCGAATCGTCGATGCATCGGCGATGCGGCTCGATGCGGCTCGATGCGGAGCCCGATTTTCTCCACGCCGACTGTGCCGATGCACCGCCGACGTCGCCGATGCATCGGCGATGCGGCGCGGATCCCCCGACCCCATCTGTTTCGACCCCATCTGGGAGGCCTCTGGGGGATCAGGACCTCCCGCCGGTCGCCTCTCTCTCCATCACCCTCGCGGACGACTACAGGCGGGCCCTGGCGCTGTGCCGGCGCGGCCGCCTCTGGCGCGGAGCCCTCGACCTGCTGGAAGGCATCGGGCACGACGGGCTGCAGCGCGGCGACTACGTCCTGCTCCCGTTCCGCGCGCAGCGGCAGGGTCGCTGGGACCAGGTGCTCGCCATAATGGAGCAGCTGCAGCCTCGGCGCGAGGATCGGCCCCTCCCTCCCTCCGAGCCGCCTCCCTCCCTGCCTCCCTCCCCCTCCTCCCCTCCTCCTCGAGAGAGGGGAGGCACGCGCCACCACCCGTCTCCCCCTCACCGCCTCTCCCTCCCCTCCCCTCCCCTCCCCTCCCCGTCCTTCTCGGTCCCTCCCTCTCCCTCCCCTCCTTCGCGGGGGAGGGAGGGCACGCGCTACCACCGAGCCTCCCCCCCAGGACCCGAACGCCTCAAGGGCCGAGGAGAGAGAGCGATGAAGAGGGAGGAAGAGAGAGGAAGAGGTAGGAGGAGGAGGAGGAGGAGGAGGAGGAGGAGGGATGAGGACCACTGTAAGCCCAAGACGCATCAACTATGCTGCAATACACCGTCCCTCTTAGGTCCCTCTTCGTAGGATCCTTCAAGAAATTAGTTCCATTGCGGGAGGCGCCCCATTGAAAGACAACCGCATGAAAATCCCCCCACTCGTGCTAAAGCTCAATGTCTGGGACACCAGCGCCGCGAAGCAACATGACTGTAACATGACTGTTGCATCATGGCAGTCCATCCTACGAGTACACCATTCCTGGTACCGCGCCGCCGCCAATCGACGTGACTGGGGCGGCCTGACAATCTCAAATCGTGCCAGAATTTCTGCACACTGATAAGACGGAAGTGCGCGGTGCGCAGGCCAGTCTTCATCCTTGAAAGTGTTGCAATTGGTTAGGACGGATTTGCGTGGTGCCAAGAGGCGACATCCACATATTCAAAACGACTTGCGCTTCATCCTTTAAGCTGTGGCAGACTTGTAATACGAATGTGTGCGGAGCTAAGACGGGAGCCACAGTTTGACCCCCCCTCCATCTTCAAACTTATTTGCAACTATCAAGTTTCGGGGTCATGAAGGTCGAGGAAGTCTCAGGCGAAACGACCGACCCAGCCTACCAATAAGGTTGCGGGTGCGACAGGAACGAGTTTTTTATCAGGGAAAGTGTAGGTCGTGCGCGGAGCGCGGAGGTGCGTAGAGCGCGTCGACTGCGGACAGACAGGGGCGCGCTGGCGTGGCCGCAGCAGTGGGAGGAGGACTAGGAGCAGGAGTGGGAGTAGGAGGTGGAGGAGGAGGAGGAGGAGGAGGAGGAGGGAGTAGGATGAGGAGGAGAGGGGAGTGAGGTCGTCGACGAGAGGCTGTGTAGCTCAGGTGAGAGGGAGGCGGAGGAGGAGGAGAAGGAGGAGAAGGAGAAGGAGCAGGAAAGTAACAAGGAACAGGAAGAGGAGGAAGAGGAGGAGGATGAGGAAGAGGAGGGAGGAGCAGGAGAAGGAGGAGGAAGATGAGGAGGAGGAGGAGGGCGGAGCAGGAGGGGGAAGGAGAGGAGGCTGAGAGGGAGGAGGACGATGAGAGGGAGGAGGAGGAGGATGAGGAGGAGGAGGAGGAGGGAGGAGCAGGATGAGGAAGGAGAGGGAGAGGAGGAGGAGGGAGGAGGATAAGGAAGGAGAGGATAAGGGCAAGAAGTGTAGGTGCGCGGAGCGCGGAGGTGCGTGGAGCGCGGCGACTGCGGACAGACAGGGGCGCGCTGGCGTGGCCGCAGCGGTAGGAGGAGGACTAGGAGTAGGAGGAGGAGGAGGAGTAGGAGTAGGAGGAGGAAGGAGGAGGAGGAGGAGGAGGAGGAGGAGGAGGAGGAAAGGAGGGAAGAGGAGGAGGAGTGAGGACGAGGATGAGAAAGAAATGGAGGAGGAGGACGAGGAAAAGGACCATTGTAAACCCAAGACGCATCAACGATGTTGCAATAAACCCGCGCTCCAAGTTCCCTCTTCTCGGGTTCCTGCAAGGATGTTTTTGTCACTGCGGGAAGCGCCGCGTTCGAGGACAACTGACTGGAAAATCTCAAACCGTGCCAAAACACCATTCCTCTGACTCCAACGCCGCGAATCAATGGTACTGTTTCGTCCTGTCGGCCCTGAATCGTGCCAGAACGCCGTTCCTGGGACTTCAGCATCGCGAATCAACGTGTCTGCTGCGTCCTGTAAGCCCTAAGTCGTGCCAACAACACCATTCCTGGGGAGTCAATCATAAGGACCCGTAAACTTGTAAGACGAATGTGCGCGGCGTTACGGTAAGACACCCGGTTTAAAACAAGAGCGTCCTCTAGCCGTGAAACGCTTGCAGACAGTTAAGACGATTGCGCGCGGCGCTTAGATGAGATCAACCGTTTAAAAACGGCCCGCCTTCCATCCGTAAAGCTCGTGCTAACTTCTAAAACGAGTCTTCGCGGCGCTCAGGCGAGAACCACATCTTGAACATGAGCAGTAACCGCCCTCCATCCATCAACCCTTTGCTAACGTTTCAGGCGACTGTGCGCGACGCCAAGCCGAGGGCCAAATGTTGCAAGCGACCCGCCTTCCGTCCGTGAAGCTCCTACAAACTTTGAGCTTCAGGGTCGTAAGTAAGTGGTAGGGAAAGATTGCAATCCTTCGTTCAAGTAAGGTTTTTTATGCAATCCTTCGTTTTTTTGCAATCCTTCGGGTTTTTTGCAATCCTGAATTCTCAGGTGAAACGCTCGGGGAGGAGCTGTTTTATACGGTGGGGGCGTCGGTTACGGAATGCGCCCAGCAGGCGCCAGATCCTGGAGGATCCCCTCCCGGACGAGGGCGGCGGTGATGTCCATGGCCGGTCCGCGATGGGCGTTCCGCTCGCTTCCAAGCCCTGGATCCCTTGTCCCAGGGCTCCTCGCCCACTGCCCCCACCGTCAGGCAAGGGGATGTAGGAGGAGGGGGCCCAGTGGCGGAGACCGCCGCCCCACCGCCGCAGCGCGGGAGGCCGCCGGCGAGAGCACGGCGGCCGAGAGGCGGGCGCTCGCGAGGCGCGTCAGCGCGGCCGCCTTCGCCTGCCTCCACCGCGGCGCGCCGGAGGAGGGGCTGCGGTTGCTCGACGGCCTGCCGCAGGACGCCTTCTGCCGGCTTCTCGCGGCCTTCAGTGGATGTTGAAAGCGCCGGAGGCGTTTCTTTGTCCCCTGCCATCCTGTGGTGATGGGTCCTCCTTGGGAAGAGGCGGCGCCCCGCGTCCCACCTCCTCTCCTCCCCCACTTCCTCCTCCCCCTCCCCACCTCGAGCCCTCCGCCTAGGTCAACCAGTTCGGCACACCCATCGTACGTTTCGTGACCTCATAGGGAGCAGGGTGCTCTACCGAAGAGCCCCAGTGGCCATGTACACATGCGGCCGCCCACTCAATTTCGGCACACCCCTCACACGTTCTGTGGTCCCAAAAGAGGCTCCACCGAAGGCCCCAGAGGCCATGTTCACACCCGGCCAGCCCACCCATGTTGGACGCTTCGTGGCCATATGGTAACCCCACCGAAGGCCCCAGTGGCGGTCTCCACAGGCGGCCGCCCCACCCATGTTGGCACACCCCTCACACGCTCAGTGGCCCCATGGGAAGCTCTCCCGAAAGCGGTACCCACAACGACGGTACTCGCAGCTGCATATGGTTTGGTCCTCTCGCCAGGATAAAGTTGCCCGTTTCCAGCGTTTCGGTGTTCGGGCAACTAGACGGGACAGCAACGGCAGCCTAAAACAGAAAAACACAACACGGTTCCCCGCACATATCATACGGTGAGACGAGAATCCCAAGGCAGAGAAAGCACGAACCCCAAGACGGGAAAACTCAGACAGGAGAAGGACCCAGTAATATGCAATTGTGAGTGCCACGTTGTGGGTAAATTTTATTTTCGGTGGAGCTCCACGCAGCGCGTGAGGGGTGCGCCGTAGTGGGTGGGGGAGACGCACGCGGCCACGGCCACTAGGTTCTTCGGTCCAGCTCCATATGCGGCCACGAACCGTTGTACTGGATGAGGGAGACGCATGCGGCCGCGGTCACCTTGGCATTCGGTGAGGCTCTAGATTCTAGAGCGCCACGAAGCGGTGTATTGGGTGGTGGGGCGCATGCGGCCGCAGCCATTGGGACCTTCGGTGGAGGTCCTCTTGGGACCACGAAGCGCTGTACTGGGTGGGGAAGACGCATGCGACCGCGGCCACTGGGGCCTTCGCTGGAGTGCCGTACGGGACCACAGAGCGTTCACTGGGTGGGGGCGACGCGTGCGGACAACGCTTTATTGGGCGGGGGAGACGCATGCGAATGTTGCCTTGTGGGCATTCGGTGGGGCTTCCTATGTGGCCACGAACCGTTGTACGGGGGGGAAGCATTCGAACGTCGCCTCTGGGGCCTTCGATGGAGCTCTTTATGTGACCACGAAGAGCTGTACTGGGCGCGGGGGACGCATACAAGCGTAGCCTTTGGGGCCTTCTGTGGAGGTTTCCATGGCTCCCCGAAGCGCTGTACCGGGAGGGGGAGACGCATGCGGCCGCGGCCATTGGGGCCTTCGGGGGAGGTCCCTAGGGGGCCACGGAGCGCTGCACTGGGCGGGGGAGACGCACGCGAACGTCACCTCTGGGGCCTTCGGCGGAGGTATCTACGGGGCCACGAAGCGCTGTAATGGGTTGGGGAGGCGCGTGCGAACGTCGCGTCTGGGGCTTTCGGCGGCCCCCCCCCCTCATGGAGCCACGAAGTGCTGCATTGAGTGGGGTAGAAGCCTGCACATGTCGCCACTGGGCCCTTCGGTGGAGCTCCGCTTGGGGCCACGAAGCGCGTGAGGGGTGTGCCGCAATTGACGTGTGGAGGGCAGATGCAGGGATGGGAGGGCGGGAGAAGGAGGGGGGGAGGAGGAGGAACAAACAGGATACGCGGGGTGTTGCTTCGTCAATACGAGAACTCTTCAGGACAGGAATGTTGGGAGCAATTGTCGATTTTGAACATTACGATTCGCCGGGCGAAAGGCCCAATCGTATGCAGTTTGAGTACCGCTTTGTGGGTAACGCTTTCGGTGGAGTTCCTTATGGGGTCACGAATCGCGTGATGGGGTTTGCCGTCATGGGTGGGGGAGACGCATGCGGCCGCGGCCACTGAGGTCTTCAGTGGAGCTCCCTATCGGGCCACGAAGCGCTGTACTGGGCGGGAGGGGGGGCGCATGCGGCCTCGGCCACTGGGGCCTTTGGTGGAGGCTCCTATTGGGCCACGAAGCGCTGCACTGTGCGGGGAAGACGCATGCAGCCGCGGTCACCTCAGCCTTCGGTGGAGCTACCTCTGGGGACACGAAGCGCTGCATTAGGTGGGAGAGACGACTGCGGCCGCTGCCATTGGAGCGTTCGGTGGAGATCCCCATGGTGGGCGGGAACACGAAGCGCTGAACTGGGTGGGGGAGACGCATGCGGCCGCGTCCGGTTGAGCCCAACTGGGCCAGGGAGCGCTGCATTGGGTGTGAAGGCGCGTGCCAACGTCGTCTCTGGGGCCTTCGGTGGAATTCCGTAGGGGCCACGAAGCGTTGTGCTGGGTGGGAGAGACGCATGCGGACGTCGCCTCTCAGGTATTCCTTGGAGCTCGCTATGGGACCACGAAGCGCTGTACTGTGCGGGGGGGGACGCATGTGAACGTTGCCTTCTGGGCTTTTGGTTGAGGCCACGAAGCGCTGGAGTGGGTGGCGGAAACGCACGCGAACGTCGCCTCTGGTGCCTTCGGTGGAGCTCCCGACGAGACCATGAAGCGTTGTTCTCGGTACGGGAGTGCGGGAGACGCATGCGAACGTCGCCTCTCAGGCCTTCGGTGGAGGTCCACATGGGGCCACGAAGCGCTGTAGTGGGCGCAGTGGACGCATGCAAGCGTCGCCTGTGGGTCCTTCGGTAGAGCTCCCCATGGGGCCAAGAATGGTTGTACTGGGTGGCGGGGGGGGACGCACGCGAACGTCGCATCTGGGGCCTTCGGTGGGGATCCATATGGGGCCACGGACCGTGCGAGGGGTGTGCCGGAATGGCTGACATGCGGAGGGCAGAGAGGGATGGGAGGAGGGAGGACGGCAGCGGGAAAGAAGGCCGGGAGGTGAGGAACGTGGGGCGATGTCTCTTCAAAACGAGGACCCAACACCACATGATGGTTGGGAAAAAAAGACTCAGGGTGAAAAACTGGCTTTTGGGACAGGGTCGGGACTTCAGGGGACCGCGTGTTGAGCAAGTCAAAGCATCGCATTGGGGTTGGCGCATCAAACAAGAATCCATGCTGCCACAAGGTGTCCCGTGGAGATGTCTTTGATTCACCAGCGGCCCCGGACACCCGTCGGAGTCTGTGGGCTCCCCGCGAATTCTTACACCGGCTGGCCAATGTGTCACTGGACTTTTACTGGCAAGATGGATTCACTTGGCCACGCGCAGAAGGGGGGTAGGGGGAGGGGGGAAGGCTTCTCAGAAGCACCCCTGCTTCTTAGAAGGCGCAGCCCTTGTCGTCTATAGATGCGGAGGACCGGCGCCTTCTAAGAAGCGGCCACCTTCGAAGAGGTGTCACCCCTCTCCCTGCCCGTCTGTGCTTGCCGCCAAGCGGCGTATGCGCCCACGGTGCACGCCTCTGGCCAAGCCACGGGGGGCGTACACATCGCGCCCAGGCCCAGGATGGGCATGGTCGGGGGCGGTGCATCTACACTCATGTCGTCGCCCGAGCTGTTGGCAGTTGATCCAGCAGGGTGTTGCTCGGGAGGGGGAAGAGCACACAGACGCAAAGAACCGTCGACTCCCCGGAAGATGTGGGAAGCATGGGAAGTGGAGGGGAAGGATAGCATCCAGAACATACGGTGGGGCCTTGGTGAAGGAATGCGCCCAGGAGGCTGCAGACCCGGGGGCTTCCTTGTCTGATGGGCGGGGCGGCGGTGATATCCATGGCCAAGCTTCGGTTGGAGTTCCACCGGCCTCCAGACCCTGGATTCCTTATCTAAGGGTTCTTGGGGAGTCCTTCCTTATCTATGGGTTCCTGGGGGGGGAGGGGGGAGGGGGAGGGAGAGGAGGGCGGGGGGGAGGGTAGGAGAGAGGAGGGAGGAGGGAGGAGGAGGAGGAGGAGGGAGGCGGAGGAGGCGGAGGAGGAGGGGGAGGAGGAGGACTCCACCGAATTGAAACATGTGGGGAGTCCCGTCTGTTGATACGTGTGCGCCTGGGTCCCTCCGGTTGCCTTCGACCCTACCCCGCTCACGGGACGTCTGCCAGGCAGGGCGAGGGCCAGTCTTCGGGGGGGGGATCGAACATGGGAGCTTGGGGGTAGGGCCCGAAAAGGATAGGGAAGGGATTCAAGCTTCAATTCTGCAGGCCCCCCCCCTTCTGGCCACACGCCCCCTGCGTGTCTCAGGGTGTTTGAGAAGTGCCGATGGTTGAAGATGGTCGCCGAGGGAGGGGGGAGGCCACCCGGGAGGGGAGAGGAGGGTCCCCAGGACCCGAAGAGAAGAAGGGAACTCCGGCTCCTGCTCCTCCCTCCCCCCCGCAGTGGCGCGCGGCATCGTGGTCCAGGGCCCGTGCTGGCGGCAGCCCGTTGCCCGTTGACCTCCAAGAGCCTGCAGCTCCGACGAGCGGGCAGGGCGCCGCGCACTGCGCACCGGGTCGCGCCACCAGCCGCCCCTCCCGTCGAGCGCAGTGCCGGGGGTATCGATCTGGGCCTCCCAGATGGGGTCCGAGCAGATGGAGTCGGAGGACTGCGCCGCATCGCCAGTACATCATCGATGCGGCTCGATGTGGAGCTTGATCTTCTGCACGTCGACGCCGTCGATACATCGTCGGCGTCGCCGATGCATCGCCGAGGCATTGGTGTTGCAGCGCGATCCTCCGACCCAATCTACTGCACCGCTCTTCGCGCGGGAGCTCCTCTGATCTTGGCCAGGCCAGCTCACCACACGAGAGCCGAAGTCATCCCCGTCCTCATGGCTTCTCCTCCCCCTCCTCCTGCTCCTCCTCCTCCTCCGTCTCCGCCTCTTCCTCGTGTGCAGCCTGCCCCGCCGCGTTCCGAGTTGTAGCATCGATCGAGCGTGCGCACCAGCCTGCATAGCTGACCAGGACAGGATCAGCGAGAGTGCGATCCAGCGACGGGTTTTCACGCCTCAATCTGTACCCTGTACCCCAACCAGTTGACATGCAGCCCCATTCGTCGAGTAAAAAATGTCCTCCATTCTGCTCCTTTTTCCTCGTCCTCCTCTTCCTCCTCCTCCTCCTCCTCCTCCTCCTCTTCCTCCTCCTCCTCCTCCTCCTCCTCCTCCTCCTCCTCCTCCTCCTCCTGGAGCGTGTCTGCGAGAGCGTCGAAGGAAGATGGAAGAACCTCAATGGCTTGGGCATGGTTCGGGGTACGGGCCAGGCCAGTCCCATCCTGGGCCCCAATCGGCGAATACGCCCCCGTGGCTTGGCTTCGACTGGCGCTCGGGACCCCTCCCGAGGACTGCGCCGAGGACCCCAAGCACGCTGCCAGGACGCTGGCCTGGGAGGTGTCCGCGGCGCGCGCGTGCGAGGACCCCATGGGGCCTCCTGCTTCCTCGGCGGAGGAGCAGCGGCGCCTCCTACAGCGGGCATCCACCGAGGAGGGGACAGGAGGAGCACTGGGATCGGGTGCGGGAGCAGGCGCGGCCACGCCCGAGCAGGAGGAGGACGAGATGCAGGAAGGAGGGGGGAGGGAGGGGCAGCAGCTGACCGGTGGCCGCCCCTCATGGCTCCCTCGGGCCCCCTGGGCAGCAGGCCGGCGTCCCCTGGAAGCGACGGCCTGGGCAGCAAAGAGGGTCATTGCTCTTTCCCGCATCCCCTGGCAAGCCCGTCCCCGTCTTGTTTTGCCCCCCCGTCCCCCGTCCAGAAGATTCGAGGCGGCGGCCTCGGCAGCAAAAAGGGTCACGGCTCTTTCCCGCATCCCCTGCAAGCCCGCCCCGCTCCTGCCCTGCCCCCCGTCCCCCGTCGAGGAATTCACCAGCCGCTGTCCGAGGACGCTCTTGAGTCTCAGGGGCGGGGGGCTGCGCGCGGGGGCCCGCCTCTCAGTGGACCCCGCGGGGGCGCGGAGCCCCCGCTTGCTTCCTCTCGTTTGCTTCCCCTTTCGACCGCCCTTCCCTTCCGTTCCGCGAGGAGGCCGCCGCGCCAGAGCTGGCGGTGAAGCTGCTGGCGAAGCTCCTGCGGCGCCTCTTTGCGCAGCCCAGGGCCCGCCTCCTCAGCTGCTCGACGGCGGTGCTGGCGATGGACGTACTGGAGCAGCACGCCGCCCTGGACGCGCGAGCGGCGCGCGCCTTCGGCGCGGCGGTGAGCGCGCCGCTGCTGCCGCTGCTCCGGAGGTGGAGCTCGGAGGCGGCCCTGCAGCGGCCGTCCCTCCCCGGGCGCTTCGCGCGGGAGGCCCTCGAGGCCCTCGGCGTGGAGCCAGGAGGGGAGGGCTGGGCCGCGGCAGCCGCGCACAACGAGCGGAGGGCGCGCTTCATGCAGCACGCGCCGGCATACGGGAATCCGCCGGAGGCGGAGGTCGTTGCCTGGGTCGCCTTCGCGGTGGCGGAGCGCGGTGCGGTGCACGAGAGTGCCGGCTGCCCCGTCGGGCGTGCACACCCGGCGCTGCTGTCGAGAATGCAGGCCCGGCTGCCCAGCGCAACGCCCCGCGCCCGGGACCACGCAGAGAGGGGTGCGCTGGTGGTGCTGCTGCACAGGCTCCGGGACTTCGAGGCCGCCAGGGGCGGCCTCCAGTTGTACGTCGGGCGCCGGCCGTGCGTGTCTTGCCTGGTAGTGGCCTGCCGCGCGAGGCACCTGCTGCCAGGGGTGCGATTGAGGCTCAGCTTCGGCGATTGGCACGAGTCGCGGCGCTGGACGGGCATAGATAGCAGCGGCGTTGGGCATCGGCATCGTCATCGACACCGCCACCATCGTAGGGACTGACTTGCTTAAGCGTGTATCGAAGCCCTTTGCCTCACTTCGTGCTAATGGTGCTGCTGTGGCCCTCGTTCATCGTGGCACTCGTCACCGTGGTCATCACTCGTGTGCGGCAGGAGAGCACGCAGGCACTGCGTATGGATGGAAGCTGGCCATCGTTGCTGCGCTTGCTTCGATCCGAAACCACTTAGCAGTTTGTCATCACCTCGCATATGGCACTAGGCAGACCTCGAGACTTCGCATATGGCACTAGGCACTAGGAGGGCCCATACAATGACACAAGGCAGACGCTGATCCTCCTCTGTTCCGCAATATCCTCGCTATTGGAGCTTCATTGTCCACCCCAGGCTTGGTTTGCGGTGGCCAGTGTCATGCACGACCAGCATTCTCCGTGTACCCATTCACCTTCTACGCTGAAGGCAAGAGTCCGAAAATCAGACCAAACTGCATTGAATTCAAAGCGCCTCTGGGTCGGTGGCTCGATAAGCAGACAAGTAATCCAATCACGCCTTGCTTACCAGCTTTTTGTATGTAGTGGCCTTCGGTCCAACCCGTTACCATGCTGGGCTGTTTGCCAGTCAGGGTTATTTGGGATGTGTGTTCGGAAGCATTCGGGGATGCCTCTGCAAGCAATATGAAACAAGTAGTACCTAAATGGCACCACGCGGCTCAGATCGATCCCAACAGGCAGCGACCCCATATGCATTTGTTGAGGGCCAGGATATTGTTGGATGCATTTCGGGGTCTATTGGGGTACTTCCTTTGGGCCTCTTGATGGCATCTCAGGGTCCCTTGGCGGCCTCTTGGGGGCCTCTTGGGGCCCTTCGAGCCTCCTGCGGGCCTCTTGGGGGACCTCTTGGGGCCTCTTGGGGGACCTCTTGGGGCCTCTTAGATGCCTCTTAGGGGGCACTTGAGGTGGAGGGCTCGCAGTCTCGGTTCGTGCTCCCCATCTTGGGTCTTTCGTAGGGCCTTCTTGGGCGGTCTTGGGCGCCTCTGAGGCAGTCTTGGGCCTTCTTGGGCTCTCTTGCGGCCCTCTTGGGGGCCGCCTGGACAGTGCTAAGGCGATCTTGGTGGCCTCTTGGGCCGTCTTGGAGCAATGGAAGCCGGAAAGGCGAGAAGGCGAAGCTCCGTCCAACACTTAATTATGTAATGAGTTGTGCATCTTGAGGCTTGAGGGGCTCGTGGGCCGTCCTGGGACCTCTTTGGATATTCTGGAGCGAACGGCCCGCCTCGGGGCACTTTGGACCGTCTCGCGAACCTCTCGGAGCTCTCTTGGTGTTTGGTGCGTCCTTCTCGGCGTCAGGCAAGTGTCAAGCGGCCTTCGGCCCATCCCGCCACCGTGCCTGGGTTGAAGGTCAGAGTCCTCACGGATGCCTCTTGGGGGTCTCTTCGGAGGGCCTTCGGGGGTCTCGGTGGCGGTCTTGAGGTCTTTTAGGGGCGTGTCCGGGCCTCTCTGGTGCCTCTTGGGGCCTATTGGGGGCTTCCTGGAGGCCTCTTGGGGCCCTCTTTGGGCATTCTCGGGGGCCTCTATGTGTGCGTCCCTGGGGCGTTTTGGGGGCCGCGCGCTCGAAATGCCCGTTCGTGAGAGGGGGCGTTCTCTGCGCAGCAGCTCTCGCAGAGGATTGTTGGGGCCCCTCTGGGGAGCCGCTGGGAGGCAGTTCGGAAGGCTCTTGGAGCCTCATAGGGGGCCGCTTGAAGGCCTCATCGGGCTTCTGTTGGGCCTCTTGGGGCATCTTGCCTGTGCTGCGGGTCGTGGGTGAGAGTGGGGCTTGTCCTGAGCCTCTTGGGGGCCTCTTGCCCGGGTCGCGGGTCGTGGGTGAGAATTCTCGTGTGTGCATCTGGGGGTCGCTTATCTCGGGGGCAGTTTTGAGTCCTTCAGGAGCTTCTCGGGGGCTCTTAGGCGACGTGGAGCTTGCCTGGGTTGTGGGGTGGGAGTGGATGAGAGCGGTGCTTATTCTGCGCCTCCTGGGTGCTTTTTTGCCTGGGTCGTGGGTCGTGGGTGAGAGTTCTCATGGATGCTGATTGGGGTCTCTTCGGAGGGCTCTCGGGGGCTTCTGGGGGGCAGTTTTGAAGCCGCTTGGGGGCTTCTCGGGGGCCTCTTTGAGGCGTCGTGGAGCTTCCTGGGAGCCTCTCGGGTCTCTTTGGGCCTCTTCGGGCTTTCTTGGGGGCCTCTGGGAGCGTCCTTGGGGCGTCTTGGGGCTGCACACTCGAAATGCCCGTGCGTGTTTCCCCACAGGGGGGGTGTCTTGGGCTCCCTTAGGCTGTCTTTTGGGCCCCCTTGAGCCGTTTTGGAGCCACTTCTTGAGCCTCTTCAGCCGTCTTGGGACGATCTTCGGGGCCTCTTGGGACGATCTTGGGAATCCAGAGCTTCTTGGATACTGTGAAAGCGCAAAAGACAAATTTGCTGTAAATGTATGTTTCCCTTGGGGATGGGACGAGTTGTTGCGGATGCCCTTGGAGACCTCTTGAGGCGTCTTGTGGGCCCCTCGGGCCGTCCTGGGGCCACAGCAGGTCGTCTTGAAGTTGTCTTGGGCCGCTTCAAGTGTAGCCAACTGAGGCGGCCCTGGAAACGATCTCGAGGGTTCGGGAGGTCGTCTGAGGCTGGCTGAGCAGCTGCCAGGAGCTCCGAGGAGTTCCGGGGAGCTCCCGGGAGTTCCCAGGAGTTCCCAGGAGCGCCCAGGAGCTCCCAGGAGCAGCTGGGAAACTGGGGGCCCAGGCCCTGAAAAACCTTTCAGCCCCTCTACCTCTGAGGGCTGCATGGCTGCATGAGCCTTGGGGCACTCCACTACGTGCTGAAGGCACGTTGGCGGATAGCGAGAACACGCGCCAACACGCGCGACGCTAAGGGAGATCCGTCAATTTTGGGGCCACGTCCTTCGGTATATAACCCTCAGGACTGGTGGCGGAGGACTCAAGGGACCTGAGGACAATTTAATTCGTCACAACGGCATGTGGTCAGGATGCGAAGGATCTCTACTGGCCTCCAGGCCATCCCGACACCGTGCCTTGGTTGTATGCCAGAGTCTTCCTGGATGCTTGTGGGGATCTCTTGGGAGGCCTACCGGAACCTCTTGGAATCGGTTTTGGATCGTCTTTGGGGCCTCGGTGGCCTCTCAGGGGCATCTTGGGACTTGATTTTGGCATCTTAGGGGCCCGATGTGGCCCTGTTAGGGCCCTCTTGGGGGTTCTGGGGGACTTCTTGGCTCCTACAATCCGTCCATCACATCGGAGCTCTTTTGGATGTGTTCTTGGAGCCCTCCTTATTGGGAAGGTTTTGCTGCCGTTTCGGCCCTCTCCAGGCCATCTCGGCTGTTGTGGATCGATCTTTCGGCCACTCGGGGCCCTCGTAGACCGGCTGGGGGGCCTCTTGGGGCCCTCTCGGCTTTTTGGGGAGCCATCTTGACCCCGAGCAAATCACGCGAAAACGTATGGGGACGCGACACGCCCAGAGGGATCTGTTAATTTTGGGCTTGGGCCCTTTGACCTGATGACACTCCGAGTCTTGCCTCGCGGCACGGTGGCGGATATGGCGCTTAGTGCGCAGGTCACTCATAGATGCAAATTGTGGACATCCTGTTAGCAGCTCATGCGTCTTGGCCGTACCAGACCAGTTAGCAGTGCTGTTGATACTTCTACTACTGCTGATGGCGCCATTGTCATACGTCACTGTCATCGGCACAGCCATTGTTAAGATTGAAGTCACCGCGATGGTGCTGTCGCACATTTCCTATGCTGCGCCCTTTTGGCTGAATGCTGTTATTTCTAGCGGTATAGCGCGTCCTCAAGTCTCAACCGTCTTCTTCTTTTGTTAGAGACTTCCCCCGTACTGATGACCGGGTGGCGAACAGCCGCCGCCATGGATACCGATTCTGGGACTTACCGCTATCATCCTCTCCATGTCTCTCTTGCTGCCACTGCTGCTTCCTTTCATACCACGGGGCGCTCCAGAAAAGTCCTCGCCTTCGAGAGTCGAAGGACTTGGTATCTCTTCCTCGGCGGAAGGCGGCAGAAGCAAAACGAGGCCACCTCCGCCGGGGGAAGCCAGCGGAAGTGACGATGGCCCCCCAAGAGATGGCACAGTTTTGTGGTTCACGGTTTCCCGAACCCGCCACCTGTCCCCTCCTTCTTTGCTGCTCGTCCGAACGCCTCACCGACCCACGTCGGCCGTTCCTTCCCGTTCCGCCTCCGCCAGGACGCGCCCTGTCTCTCTCAGGCGGAGCTGGCCGCCCCGCTGGAGCCGGAGCCCGACATGCCCAGGCCCTCTGTCACCGCACGGCCGCCGATGCGCGCCCCGTGTTTCCACCGCGACTCCGCGCTCGCCCGCTCTTCTTCTCCTGCCCCTACTCGTCCTTCCTCGCGGGCCGGGCCCCTGGGCCGCGACCCCGCGGGTACGGGGCGTGTTTTCGTGGAGGCTCGGCGCGGAACGTATCCGCGCGACCGCGCATCCGCCCAGAATCCAGGCCGCGAGGGCGCGGACATGGATATGTTCGCCGCTCGTGACTTCCCTGTTCCCCGCCCCCTCGCAGCGTGTTCGTTTCCCCTCCAGAGACCCCCCAAGCACAACATGACTTGTTTTTTCCGTTAGTTTTCGCATGATCTCGAGCTACCAGTTTCCAATGTGTTCTGGGCGTTCGGCACCCCCCAAGCGGCCCTGAAGATCGCCCCAAGACGGGCCAAAAGGGCCCCAAGACGGCCCCAACAAAGCCACAACACGGTCAGGATTCCCCCAGTATTCCCCCCACCGCATTCCAATATCGGGACCCAGTCACTCAGGGAAACCGCAGCAAGCAGCAAGATTGCTCCAAGAAGCCCCAGACACCCTCCACGAATGCCCCCCAAAATGGCAGGACACGCCCTCAGGTGCGCGCCGAGGCGGCTCAAGATGGCCATTGAAGCAATGAGACGCGGTGCCCGCGAGGGGCAGAAGCGAAGAAAATGAGGAAAAGTAAAGAAACGAAGGAGGAATCTGACGAAGAGCGTTGGGAGAAGAGCAGTAAGGAAAGCAAAATTTTGCGAAAAGGAGGAGGAGGATGAACGAATCGCGGGCGCAACCTTGTGGACACGATATTTTGTTCGGCTGCGCGAAATAATGTGCACGGAACAAGGTGCATGGCGAAGCGCGCGAATGCAATATTGCAAGCGTGTATATGTATATTGAGAAGGCCTTGCGGCCGATGCC